GAGGTGTGGCTGACTGGCCTGTAGTTGCCTGGGTCCTCCTTCTTGCCTTTTTTGAAGACTGGCGTGACATTGGCCTTCTTCCAGTCCTCCGGCACCTCTCCCGTTCTCCAGGATCTTTCAAAGATGATGGAGAGCGGCTTAGCTATGACATCTGCCAGCTCCTGCAGCACGAGGTCATGGTCACTGTAGCTGAGGCTCCCCCCCACCTTCACATCTCCTACAAGTCCCTCTCTATTGGTTAGCATGAGGTCCAGTAGCCCACCTCCTCGTTGGCTCCTCCACAACCTGTGTCAAAAAGTTATCATCAATGTACTGCAGGAACCTCCAGGACCGTTTGTGCCTGGCTGTGTTGTCCTTCCAGTCGATGTCAGGGTAGTTGAAGTCCCCCATGAGAACCAAGGCCTGTGACCGTGAGGCAACATCCAACATGCATTCCACACAGAGGAGCTCCCAGCTTCTTCATACAATAAGTCTTTGGTGACTATTTCGTGCAAATTTTCTGTGCAGTACAGGAATGCTCTGTTATCTAATTTACTACCGGCAATAATATAGTAAAATCATGCACTGAAAATTAGCTTTGTAAGTCCTAACTTTGTTCTGTTGTCATTTAAGTCAGCTTCAGTTCTCAGTCTAAACCAGGGATTTTAGCTCATGTATGACTTTTGTTATGCTTTACAACTGCACCAATTCTGAATACTAAATAATTACAATTATTTTTCAGCTTCAAGAAGAAAACAAATCAAAACAGAGCTGTCTACAGGTTAGTCTAAAAGCAAACAATTGTTTTTAGCTTTGTGGCTTGCCATCAGTAAACTCCATTATGACATGCAGACATGGATGGAGTGGACAGATGTATGGAGAAATGAGAAAAGAACAACTCCAGATTTACTTTGGCTAGGAATTTTATAAATTGCTCAACTATAATGCAGGCATGAACATTCTATTGCCCTATTAGGGGTCATTCTGTAATTCTTTCCAGCACTTTTTGGTCTTCTCTTGTTTGAATCCAGTACAGTACTAACTGTTACTCTGATCTTTCTGGCCCATTAACTTTAAATCAGCAACATTACCTCTTCACAGAAAATGGAATCTTTTGGTCGAGAAAGATTCCATGTGTTTCACATTTTGACTTCATGATCTAAATCTATGTTCTACAGTCCTTATGACCCCAGTGCTGCATGGCCCTCACATATGTGTTTAATTCTAATTTGCAACTAAGTTGAACCCACACTGAACAAGTATATTCCCCATTTTTAGGTAATGTTTCTTGAAAATATAACCGAAGGGACTGAAATTTCTACTGTAGTTTTTAATATAGATGAATAAAATTATAACCTCATACTTTTCTCTACATTTAGGACACAATGGAAGTGACTCTGAAAACAGAAGTGGAAGCTGGTGCTAGTGGTTTTAGTGTGACTGGTGGAGGAAA